AGTATAGACAGTTTTATACCATTTTGCAGGATCTTTTTGACGAAGATCTCTCCCTTCGGTGTGATAAAACGATTGTTTTGCATTCCGAATTAACTTGGAGACCTTTTTACATAATTGGTCGTACTTGGGTTAATCACCGCGGCAGTAAGCCTTTTGCCTAGCTTTAATCTATGCCTTTATTTTTGGGGTAATCCAAGGTTTACCTGATGTATGCATTCGGATTGTCACTTTTGGCATAGCCTTGTCTAGCAAAGAGAGTATCGTTCTATTAAATGCTTCGACTTTATCATCCACATCTGTTGCCATTAAAACATTGTCCCAGTTTTGGAGGGCAACAGTTCTACTCAATGTTTGTTTGTTTTCGGGTTTATGTAGTCTAACTTTTTTGGAGGTAGGGGGGAGTTTGTTGACATTTTGGGGGGATAACAGCAAACATTGGTGGTCAAAACGACCCAAGGGGGGTAGATGTTTGGCAGGTAAATAGAGGTCAGCCATGTTGGTCAAAATCTGGTCTAAGATGTTATTACCTCTGGTGGGAGTCGAAACCATTTTTTTAGGTTAAAGCGGTTACATAGGCGTCTTAAATTCAGTTTGTTAAAATCCCCAGCGATAATTATTCCTGTCGAAGGACGAGAATGAAGGACCTTGTCCAGACCATCTGTGAGGTAGCTTATCATTTCATGTTCTTTCTCAACAGACTGCCCCGGTGGATAATAAACGGTGACCACAATGATAGCACTAAAGGGTCTCGGTGAACGGTGGGGTTTAAGGAGCAGCCATAGTACCTCTTTTCCAGCTTCTTCAAGATTTGGCAGACGAGATACTGGTACCGATTTATCGATGTACGCTAGTACACCACCCCCGGGGGTTGGTCGATCAAGACGAAAAATAAGATAGTTATCGCCAATATTTATAAAGCTATTTGGAACGTCGTCTGTTAACCAAGATTCTACTATCAAATTTATTGTTGATTTGTTATTGGAAATAACAGCCGATAGTTCAGTCACCTTATTTGTGATGTGGCAAACATTTGACACAAGAGAGGAAGGGAGAGGGCATTTCTTGACTTGGTGCGTGTTAATTTCAATACAATTAAACTTTACGTGGCTTCGGCATTTCGACTTAACAAGATCTCTAACAAAATTTTTGCGATTTCGTTTCGGGCTAGGTTTGAAGATGGATCGTGCCTTTTTTCCGATATCGTTAAGTGAAGAACTTTGACCCTGATTATCTCTGTCAATTTGGATTTGTGTCGTGTGGTTTTCGAACAGGGGTAATCCACCAACACCTTGGTGTTTTGTCGCTGAGTGTTGAGTGTGAAAGTTTTGAGATCTTGAAGTTACAGAAATTATAGTGCAATCGTCTAAATTCTCTTGAATAGTTGAGCTGGGGTTAACCCGATTGGCCTCATTGCACACATTATTCTGATTGATTTGTATCGTGTGGTTTTCGATCAAGGGTAATCCACCAATACTTTGGTGTTTTGTCGCTGAGCGATGAGTGTGATTGGCCTCATTGCACACATTATTCTGATTGATTTGGCAATTAATCTCTTTTGGGTTATGCAGTAATTGCAAGCTATTATCATTACATTCTCCAGACAAAGGACTATTATTTTGCTGATTAGCTTCATTGGGCCCATTGTTCTGGTTGACTTTATTAAGAGACTCAATTATGTTGGTATTAATACAAAAGTTATGTAATAAAGGGTCGTTAGGTTCCTCCAAACGTGGTTTTTCCCGAGGTCGGAGTTTCTTCATTACATGCTTCGACATTAAATATTTTCTTTTCATAACGTTTTCTACACAGAGACACAGGCAGTGCACTTGCTCGGCGGTTGCTGTTTCCAGTAGTGCTTGTTGTTGATCAGGCTCAGACGTGCCCAGCAATTCAAGAAATGGCTTGTGCCTTAGAAGATTGATCATTTCTGTTCGACGGTTTGGAAGCAAATGAGTAAAACACAACAATAAGGAGGTTTATATCGGAAGAGAAAGCAGGAGAAAAGCTATTTAGACTAGTCTCCAAGCCTAAGGAGCTCGGCTCCGAGCCTAAGAAGCTCGGCTCCGAACCTAAGGAGCTCGGTTCCGAGCCTAAGGAGCTCGGCTCCGAGTCTAAGGAGCTCGGCTCCGAGCCTAAGGAGCTCGGCTCCGAGCCTAAGGAGCTTGGCTTCGAGCCTAAGGAGCTCGGCTCCGAACCTAAGGAGCTCGGCTCCGAGCCTATGGAGCTCGGCTCCGAGCCGAAAGAAGTTGCTCCGAGCCTAAGCAGCTCGGCTCCGAGCCTAAGGACCCTCTGCTCGGAGCCTATGGAGCGGGCTCCGAGCCTAGGGAGTTGGCTCCGAGACACTAGCTGGGCTTCGTGTTATATAAACTCGGTTTTTAGTTGAAAGATTTATTATATAATAATTTGTCATAGAGTAAACATGTCTCATTCATGCCATATCTGTGGAAAATATTTCTCTAAACCGTTTAATTTACATCGACACAAACGAAAAGAGCATGATCAAAAATCAACCGACAACATTTGCATGGCAACTAATGGATCTGCAGTTTTGCAACACCCATTTACATGCATCGTTGCAGGGTGTACCCAAAGCGGTAAGACTGTATGGGTAAAATCTCTCTTGGAGAATGCACAGAAAACTACAAGTTTGCCTTCTCAACGTATCATTTGGTGTTATGGTCAATGGCAACCCTCCTATTTTGAGATGATGAGAACGATGCCAGGAATCGAATTCAATCAAGGCATCCCCGAAGACATCGACAACGCAGATTACTTGGATGTATCGCAACGGAATTTGATCGTATTCGACGACCTTATGGCTCAATCCGGCAAAGACAGACGTATTGCTGATCTTTTCACGAAAGGAAGTCTATCATCTATATTGTCCAAAATATATTTCATCAGGGGAAAGAAATGAGAAATATCAGCCTTAATAACAGCAAATTTCTATGCTTGCAAGGCAAATAAATCCCGGGAAAGTACAAGAGTTTATGAGGAGTTATGAAGATGCTACGAACCGACCTCACGGGTATTTGATGCTGGATTTAAAGCCAACAACAGACGACCAACAACGACTCAAGACCAACGTGCTTCCCGGCGAGATGGCAAAGTTTTTACGCAAATAGTCGTATCGTCAACCACCACTTGTAAACGCCATGTACGATGCCGAACAGAGAATGAAAGAAATCATGGAAGCGCCACAGCTTAGCGCCGTGGAAAAAAGCAAATTATATTCGGATCAGCTAAACCGCTTTTTGACCTTCAAAAATAATATGGCTCATTCTTCTCCTGGAATTCCAGAAACCTCTGCTCAAAATAACCAACAAGCGCCTGGAGAGATACCACCACAAGTACCTCCAATGCCTGTACCAGAGGAAATAGCACCACCAGTGCCTGCTACTCCAAAACCTAATTTCCATACGCCACCACCAACAGAAGAGGAACGGCCAAAACTCAAGCGCAACTTTTTCCACAACTGGGTCGACCCAGCAGATTGGACCGAACGTGACCTAGCACGAACGACTCCGGAAAGAAGAGAGGATTATGAACGTTTTATATTGAGCGACCGACCAAAATATATTCCAATGAAGCCGGAGAAACTTGCAAAGTTATCCCCAGAAGATAG